CCCTTCGCTGTGTAGGCCCTCTTCAGTGTGGCTTATGTTAGATATTTTCCAAATATACAAATCTCATCAAATGCGAAGGCAGAGATTTTCTATTACCCAACCCAACAGCACGTGGACACACCTCTCTACTTAAACATATATGCACCTTGCTGCTTCGCCCATCTCTCTGTCCAGCCGACTTGGCTATTTGTCTTTCGGACGTTGGTTCCGATGTAACGTCGCAGTGTGCAAATCGTTTAGTTGTCTGCTATAAATCTGTGCTAGTGACTTTGACACTCACTCACATACTCATACCAGTTGGTAAGTAAAGTTTTCCTCATGCTAGTGTGTGGCTTAAATCCCAACTGAAGCTCTTCGCCATCTCACCGTCCCTCAGTTAAGTAATCCGACGGCTGGCGGCTTGTGCAATATATATATATATAATATATATGTACGTACGACTGTAAGTGCCATATACATATGTGTATTCAATCAAGTTAGAAGTAGCAACGGCAGCAGTTTAGCATTTTCGTCGCAAACCTAAGTGGCGCAGAAATTAAATTAAAAAGGAATCCAAAGCGTTTTTCTTCCATTTGTCTTTGCTTGCTGTACTTCCTCATGTTTACATTACATATTTGGATTCGATTTATTTGATATATATATATACAAGTATAGATATGTATATATGTATATGGTCCTTTTTTTGCTTGATTTTAAATTTATTTTGATCTTTACCTAGCTCGGCGCTCCAGCGACAAATTCTCAGCGTTAGCGGCCCTGTTCGTAACACATCCCCACACATACATCTGTATATACATATATACATAGAAAAACGTATGCAAATACATGAAGGTTTAAACTCCTACACAACCATATATGTGTATGTGTGAGTTCCCTTTGCTCTTTTTATTCAGCAGGCAATTACAATCTTTTAATACTCTAACACACATACGTGCACATGTGTCAGCAGGTATGTAGGTATGTTGGCGGCTGCATGTCCGCATGTCAAAATCAAAGATCCAATTGAAATAAGGAAATTAGATTGGCAAATAATTTAATTTCATGCTAGCAAGTATGGGTAAATGTTTACAAAGGGATTTTTATGATTTCTAATTGAACATATATGCACTCGCACACACATAGTATATACGTAGGTAGGTTATAAACATATTAAAAAATGTTGAAACTCTATATGTAATATAAAAAAGTCAGTAATGAAGACTAGCGTTTTACAACGATTTCTCATAATAGCTAGCTGAATGATAAGCCTGGACTCGTATACCCTGAGTATAAAATTTGTCACGAAGTTCGTAAAACCCAGAAGGAAGCGTTAGGGAAGTTGAAGTGTATATACAAGTATAAATAATCAGTGTGACGAACTGAGTCAATTAAGGCATATCCTCCTGTCTGGATATATGCGAACTAGTCTCTCAGTTTCTGAGATAGGGTTCAGAAAATTTTGCACACGTTATTTTCTCTCTCTAAATTTGTCAGAACCGTTTATATGGTACCCCTATAAGATATAGCTGTTATTTTAACTGAACGGAATATTCTTGCATGCAAAAATGTTGTTTTTTTTGCGAGAGGAATTATATAGGGTGATCACTTTCGAGATTCCCTACTTTTTTAAACTGAAAAATACATAAAATTCAAATTCAATGGGCAGTGTTTATTATCGTTCGAAAGAATATTATTTGGCATTTATTTTATCAAGAATATCTCTTTCAAATGTTGGCCGCGACTTCGACACGAATGATCTGATGTTTTGCTCCAAGGCCTGAATCCAAGCGACATTGTCCGCATAGACTTTACACTTTACATATCCTACCGATAGATTCCACCGGCTAATAACCTCACCAAACCGTTGTTTTTTCTGGATGAAATGTCAGTTCTTGAATCTCTTCAAGTTGCTCTTCGTCCCAAATTCGGCAATTTTGCTCGTTTACATACCCATTGAGCTAGAAATAGGCCTCATCGCTGAACAAAATTTGGCTCGAAAACGTCGGATCTTCTTAAAACGCTGCCGCTTGGGAAGGTCGGGCGGCTTCAGTTCTTGCACAAGCTGTATGTCTTTTAATTTAAAATTTCGACGTTAAATGCGCCAAGCCGTTCCATACATCAGTCCGAGTTGCTGCGAACGGCGCCAAATCGACTATCCACGGTCTTCGTGTACACTCTTATACTATGTTCGCACCAAATTGAAATCCTCTTGAAAACACAATGTGTGGATTGTGGAACAAAGGTCGTTCTGACCGACATTGTATGTTTTCGATGAGTTTTCATTGACAGTTTACACATCTATTTGTTTACATTTGTTATGTACCCTACAAGAACAGTGACGGTCATCTAGTGGGAAATATGACAGTCATAGCTGAAAAAATTTTGTCAGCGCGCAGAACAAAGCTTCTATCATTTTCTTAAGAGCCTTATTTTCTTTTTGTTCGTTTGTTTTGTTTTTTCTGAGTCATTGCTGACCATAAATCCGTCATAGCTGAAAATTGTCAGTTCTGACTGAAACGCTATCAGAAGTGAAAAATTCTTTTGCGCAGTAGATAATATAATTTTTATTTCTTTAATAAATTTCAAACTTTTAATCAAAATTAGTTATAATAATATACTTAAATATAAAAAGGAATGCAACAAAAAAATATAATAAAATATGAATATATAAAAATAAATTTTCACTTTATGCCATCTCCTCCTCTCAATAGCTCTGCGTACGTCTTTCTCTAATCAGTTGATAGTTTTGAATTTAAAAATGCAAATGTAAATTAACAGTACTGACATATCAAATGTGAATGTATTGGTGAACCCATTAGCAGTTTCTTGTAGGGTACGTTTAGGCCAATTATGGAATGTAAACAAATTGTCAACTGGCATTATGTCTTCTAATAATATCGATTAAACTAGAGCAGGCACCGATTATAATGAGTGGAATGTAAGTTTTCAAGGGGTTTTCAGCGAAAACTGTGTTTTCGTTTGACAGATTTTGTATGGATGAAAACACAAGTTTTCGCCTGAAAACCTCTTTTGTCTATGAAAACACGAATTTGTGTCGGTGCGAACATAGTATTAGCTATGGCCGCTATATTTTCTTCACTGCGTGCTGGACGTGGTCTATTCAGTCGAATATCAACCCAAAATGAATGCTGGGTCTCAAGGTGGGTGATGGTGTTGCAAATAGTACGCTCAGTAGGCCGATTATGTTTACCATACACATATACACATACATTCTTTACAGAATGGAATTTTCGTAATAAAGTTGAACGATTTGTAAACGTTATTTAGGCGTAAGTCTTTCCATTATGAAATGCCAAATAATATTGAACAAAGATAATACGACATGACTCACGCGTGATCTGTCAAAAAAAAGTTATTTAAAAAAACTACTTTTATTTGGATCAACCGTTAACTTCGGTACAATCGAAGTTAACGTTTTTTCTCGTTTTTTATTATCAGATGTCTACAGTCGATATATTCATAGTAATTGTCTGTAGACTTTATATGATTAAACACTTTTCACAAATGTTGCTAGGATAATTATTCTTTTCGTTACCTAATTTATTTATTTGGTTTCTTAAATCTTTCTCCACAGTTTTGGTCTCTTCTTTTTTAAATTTTAGAGTGAAGTAAAGGTAGCCAATAGCAGCCATTGTATAATTTCATATCATTTAAGTATGCTCTGTGACTTTCCGTGGTTGAATATAGTCTGTGAGGTTTTCAGTCAATTTGATGTTTGCGACTAAATTGCTTAGTTTTATGTTTAACTTAACACTGCAAATTTTTTGCAGAGGTCTTGTTTTTTAATATTTTTTTATTATTAGGTATGAATGACCTTAGCATGTTTAATGTCGTTCACACTTATACTCTTGAAGTTGTTCACTCCGCAGGTCAACAGAGTAATTTCTGCCGAGAACATTATGCATGTTAATGACAGGATACAGCCTTTTTACAATTAATTTCGGAATTAGAGAAGTCTAGAAACAACATAACTTCCAATTTTGAAAAACTTAAATCTATGGAAAATCTTAAAACGACGAGGAAGTATAGATCTCAAGTTCTGGTTATTTTATGACATTTAGTGTTTGAGTAAAATTTTTTACATATGATCACGGCAACGCGTTTTTTTTTAACTTAATTATACACCGGTTTTTCCAGCTAAGCCGACATTACGTTGCCATTAGTTTTAGTTTTTATTAGCGTAGACTATTACATTTCTACCCATTGCCAGACCTATTTTTGATATTGATTCGTTCACAAAAATATTAAAGTAAAGAACTTAAAAAAAGTGTCAAAAACAGGTGGTTATTTTGACAGCTGCTGATTTGACAGCTAACTTTCTAGAAAGTTTTATACCATAAAATAATCAACGATAGAAGTATTTGTTTTAACTAAAACAAACACAACTATATATTAAAAAAATATTTAAAGACTGCTTTTAAGGTTACACTCTCGATATTGTTGAAGCCATAAAAGAGATATAAACCACTTTCTGGGCCGGCAGCCTTAAATCTTTGGCACATTAAGTCCTTACCGCTTCTACTCAGATTTAGCAGTTACGGCGTGTGAAGAAATACAACACCTATTTACATATCTTATTTGTTCATATTAAGATATAAATGAATTAATAAATAAAATTTACTTACTTTCGAAATGATCATTCAATACAAAATGTTGCCGGCAGTATAGACAATTAGTAACCACAAATGCTTAACCACATATCAAAAGTGATATGATATAATATTGCGTATTATTACATATGATTAAATTTGAAATATTATTACATATTCAATGGAAATATTTATACTGTAATATTTAATTAAATTTGCAGAAAAGCGCCTTACATACCTAAAGCTCCATATGTGTACCTATTTATTCGTTTTCCTTAATTATGGATTTGTGGTCACACTTGCTGTCGCTTTTGATTATTTTACATGCTTTTGTTACAACAAATTAATTTAATTAAATCTCTATTTAAGTCTATATCTCTTTTACTCACATTCTCTCGCTCTATTTTGCAGGACATTGAGCATTGCTATTATCATGGCACCGTTAAGGACTATCCTGGTGCTAGCGCCGCTTTCCATACGTGCAATGGTGTCAGCGGCGTCATACACATCGGCAACGAAACATTCGTAATACATCCCTTCTATGGAGGCGATCTTTCGGTACGTAATCGAGACCAATTAACGGTCACATAAACTTTATATATTTAATTTTCATACTATATTGAAACACTTTTTTTAAGGATTTTTCATACGGCCCTTTTTTATATATTTTTATAGCCTCAGCAGGGGGATTTACCGACTTGAAAGTCGAAATCTCTTACTTTGTACTTTACTGCCCCCGAAAATCCGCTTTAAGTTGGCGCTTTAAGTTTTGGTTATATTCGCAAATCCTACGATTTCACATACATTTTCGTTGAATCGAAAATGTTTTGTAGCCTTCACTTATCCAGTTTTTATTATGCCGTCGTTTTTATGGCATCTTTCTTCTGCCACTGTGTGCTGTACGGTAGCCACATTTTCACGCTCAAATGCCGACAATCGGCCTGAATTTTGATTTATATCTGCGTCTAAGCGAAATCGGCATGCAAATGTACACACACACCCACTCGCATGCAGAACCATTTATTTCCACACAGTTTTCGCCAACATTTATCCACAGATCTGTTTTTCAATTGTGAACTTTAAATAAAATCCGAATTTATATCCAGCGTAAGCTGCAGCCCGTTGTTAGAAACAGACTTTGGTGCGCTTGATTTCAATTGCAGTCTCCTTGTACACTGGCAGAAAAAGATTTGAGGCACTAAATTTTGTAAATGTTGTTTGTATTTTGTAATGAATCAGGTCCACCCTTTCCGCAGAAAAATGTTGATAGGAAAGCACATTATTACAGTATTACCATAAATTAAATAAATAAAAAAATTAAGTAAATTAAGATCTTTATGCTCCTCAAAACGCAGTTATAAGGGTCGCCGCTCTCTGCTATGTATAAGAAGGCATTTTTTTTGCTAAGCAATATATAAATTTACATATTTATTATCCACACCTAATACAATTAACCCCTATAAAAGCTTAGACAATGCTTTACATTAGCTAGAGCTTTCTAACTGTTGATATGAAATGCTCAGCTGAAACCTTTTAAAATTAATTTTTTTGGTTTCATAACAATTCGGTGCCATAGGATATACCTAGAACAAAATACTTTTGCTTTTTTACATATATTATGAAACATTTGGTGGGTAGACAATTCTCGACATATCTCTCGTATACCATTGCAAGGGTAAAAAACCCATTTTTTAAGGGTAATTTTATGTTAAAAATAGTTTGAAAAACTATGGATTCCCTTGACCTTCAGAAGAAGGTTCTATGTCTGCTTAAAATGATCCCAAATCCATTAACCAAAAAAAATTATATTAGTATAGATATTAGTATAGATGAGTATAGTAGGAGAACTAATAAAAATTTTGATTTATTTCAAGATTTCAAGTCGATCGGTCTAGCCGTTCGGAGAAATTTTCCTCACCGGTTCTAACAGCAGCGTTTTGAGAAAAATGTTTTTGAAGTTTTGAGAGCCGATTAAACAAAGTTGAAAAATTCATACAAATAACATGGCGAATTTAAGAATATGAATGATTTTTTTTTTTTGAATCCTGAAGCGCATTGCAATGCGTTAGAATTGTCTTAAAATTTAATCTTTCTCGATTAATATACAATATTAATATGGTTTCTCTTTATTAATTTATAGACTCAAATAATCACTTGCTTGTCTCTCTTTGAAAATAAGTGGAATTTTGGCATTACCATTTTCAAATAAATGTTTTTTCTACAGTTCACATCTTCTTCTCAATTGAAGGGCTTGTTTGATGATAGTTTCTTCAAAAAGTATTTGTCTTACTGGACGGAAATTTGAACCACTCTAGAATCATTTCAGAAATGGAATTAGAAAATAGCACCAAAAACAATTATATACCATTTAGAAATGCTGGAATTTATTCAGTCTTCAGAAAGAAAGGGCAGTTTACTTTTTACTTAATTTCTTTGAATTTTAGAAATATTGTAAAAATATATTAAAAAGCCCGCAAAGATGATAAACTGAACACTTTTTCCAAAATAAATGTAAATCTTTATACAATCTTTAATAAAAACGCATTACTAAGTCCCCTCGCTCTAATCAAATTTTAAGAAAATTTCTTACAGTATAGTATTTTAGAATTTATCTCCACTTTTGAAAGGAATTCCTTGCCACACATTTTTTTTCATCGTACTTTCCATAAACTGCAATATTTTTCAATATGTGTGGCTACACTGGCGGTAGTTGAGTAATTTTATGTGCGCGACATCAATAAATAAACATTGCTTAGGAAAAAGAAATCAGGCGTACATTCATTCATATACAAACACTTAACGGCATGCTTGAATACTAGTACTTGCCAACAAACACAGATGAGTTTAGCAATCCCAGCCAAAATTCTGTCTCGGTTCCAACTCAATGCTTCGTCTTCCGCATCCCACACGAGTGCTTGATTGCTGAAGCGACAAAACGGGGGAAACATCCAACGCCAGAAGTTCAACACTGATGCCACATAAAAAAGTTGCGAATAGAATAAAAAAAGTAAAAAAAAAAACTTAAAGCATAAAAAAATTACAATATCAACGCTGCAAATATAAAGTGAATATGAAAACTTATGACTCGCTGCTACCATAATTTATACGAATTCGAATCGGGAATACTTTAGCACCAACTTCTGCCTAGGATCAACTAAGCAGCCAGTGCCTCACCTTTGCGTGGCATTTCGAGCTGAAAGCACATACATGTGTAGATTCACACACATATGGATATATTTTTGCGCGAATTGAGTGCTGGTGAAGCACATCGCCGACTGCTTTAACTACATAGTACGAGTGTGCCATTGGTTTGAGCAAAATTTGAAATTTATGACACATACATAGTGATTTTCAACAGATTCAATAGCGCAGCAAGCCATTCATATTTATGACGATTGGTTGCAAGGTGTACACATGTGTATGTAAATGTGTTTGCCTCCGCTTAGACAGAGCAACCCATCTTGGTTTGTGGCCGAGGTGATGATTAGATGGTGGCAACCTTGCTGAGCTACATGGATTTACCGACTGGCATTGCTCAGATTTCTAAAACGCCCTTACAAAAAAGAGTCTCCCTTTTTCTTTTGAGCATTGTCTGATTTGGGATTTTTTTATAGCTTTCTTATTTATTGTTGGTTTACGAGATTCGGCGTATGTCAATTTGGTTTTTGTATCATTTTTTATTATTATTTACATTGGCGCTTTTTTAGAATGTTTAGCTCCCCTCTTTCTATGAGGGTCATGTGTTTTTTTGCAATTTTTTTCACCATACATGGCCGGTTTAACCATTGACTCCTTTTTCAAATGAAGCTATTATCTTTTTTGGTGGCAGATTTGATTGCATATTTGTTTTTTAGAAATTCACTATTTCACGTTTGTGTTTCGCCTCTATATATTGTATCACCTCAACTATTGTATAACATGGGCTAGATGTACAAATACTATACTTCCGAAAATAGTACATTATTATGGTAGCTTGCCTCGTTTTCTGGTTCGTACTAGAGTTCAGAATAAGTTTGAACGGCTCACCTCATTTTTATGTTTCTTAATTTGACAGAGTTTTTGAATGCCAAAAAGAACCTCTTTAACTTTTAAAAGACTATTCTAACAACCTATCGAGTATAACCGGATTTTACTGTGCTCTCAATCAGATCATGCTCCTTATTGTGGTCACTGGCTGGCAGAAAAATTATGAATTAAGTACAATGAGGGTATTGCACTCAATTTAATATGAATAATTCGGCTCACAAGGAATTAACCTAACTAACCAGCGCAAGTTTTTTATCATCCTATAAAAACTGCCGGAACAGTTAAAACGAACCCCTCTCGAACAGATGTCAGCTTTCAGCTTCCTTAAGATGAATTAATTAATAAAATGCCTTTATCACTCTTAATTGCAAGCCTCATGATCTCTAGCGTTTTATTCTCGTTTCTCATTTGACCAAGATTTATTATACAGAGATATGCATTGTTTTATATAATTTCGAAATTAGCGAATAAAGTCATAGTTGATTGTTTTTGCTTTTAAGAACGCAAACGCTTGGTTGAAATTAATATCTGCCGTGCATGAAAACTTTACTTTTTATATATAATTCGGGTTTTTGTTGTTATATATTTCGACATCCAATGGCTTTGTGCATTTTGTACGCACATATTTTAAGTATTTTCTAATTCTTTTACACATTATGATAATTTTCGCGCGTTCGCTGCATACTCAAGCGTTCCCTTTCTCAGTGGTATCACAACAGCTGTGCCTTGGATATTATGTGATTTAAATATGCTGCTTGAAGCATAATTTCTCACTGATGGCAACGCTTTGTGCATAGACAGTTAAATTCGATATAAAAACCATTTTTAGTACTTGTAGTACATTCACACCAAACCCTGCTGCAAATAGCCGACAACTTTATTCGATTTTTATATGCTTCATTTGCAGTTTGAATATCTTACGGAGCCTCAAGAAACCCATCACTTCCATCTGAAAAAAAAGGTTTGGGTACCTCAAAGAATATCCCTTTCCTTGGAAGTTCGCATTTTAAAGAAATATGGACAATCTAAAATAGCCGTTGAAATAGCATTTACTGAGCTGAATAAGCAGGAAATGGACAAAATCATAAATTTTAGACAACACACACTTTCGAAGCATTGGCAAGTACTGATATTACCTAGTAACCAATTTTTGAAACGAACCTAAAGTTTCGAATTTACTCAAAAACCCCGTATAATAACTAAGGTTGAGTATCAGACAATTTCTGGTCAAAGACGCTGTTGCTTTGAATATCCTTGTAGGGAAAAATATAGAATATGGGAAAAGAATAATCATAAGTAAGCCAATACTTCTCAAGAAAACAAAAAACTACCGGTTTTGTTTCTACAAATTTGAACAAAGCCGTCTTGAAATATTGGCAACCACGACTTGAACCCCTATACTGCGCGCTTTGCCAACATTCTAGGGCAGACTCAGATTATTCCGAAGATTACGCTGAATATCATTGCGAGCATTTCTGCTCCAATGTCGCGATTAAGGAGCAATATCCACTTTCAAGTACAATAAAAAAGTT